GGGAGGAGTGGAGTTTACCTCAGTGAGGGGTGTACTGTGTCCTGTGGTTGGAGGGAGGAGTGGAGTTTACCTCAGTGAGGGGTGTACTGTGTCCTGTGGTTGGAGGGAGGAGTGGAGTTTACCTCAGTGAAGGGAGTACTGTGTCCTGTGGTTGAAGGGGGAGGGAAGTTTACCTCAGTGAGAGGTGTACTGTGTCCTGTGGTTGGAGGTGGAGTGGAGTTTGCCTCAGTGAGGGGTGTACTGTGTCCTGTGAAGAGGTGGGGAGACGGTTTACCTTTGATAGGGGATCACTTTCCTGTGGTTGGGGGGTAGTGAGTTTACCATAATGAGTGTGGGTTCCACTTACCCATACCTACGGGCCAGAAGCGGTATACTGAGTGTCTGCGGGTTTGAGTGAGTCAGGACTCACCCGCTGACCCTCTGCTGATAGCTCTGCTCCGGTGCTAGAGAGAGCAGCAGAGATTGCTGAAATAGAGGGAATACAGAGAACATATACGGCACGCATACACGAGATAAAGCACCTAAATTAACTGGGATCGTCTCAAAGCTCTCCAAATGTATTCACTAGAAAGAGACGAGAGAGATACCAAATATTATACAGTACACATGGAAAATACTGGAGGGCCAGGTCCCAAATCTACACAGTAAAATAACAACGTACTGGAGTGAACGATATGGAAGAAAATGCAGAATAGAACCAGTGAAGAGCAGAGGTGCCATAGGCACAATCAGAGAACACTGTATAAACATCAGAGGTCCACGGTTGTTCAACATCCTCCCAGCGAGCATCAGAAATATTGCCGGAACAACCGTGGACATCTTCAAGAGAAAACTTGACTGTTTTCTAAAAGAAGTTCCGGACCAACCGGGCTGTGGTGGGTATGTGAGCCTGCGAGCCGCTCCAAGCAACAGCCTGGTGTCCTGAGCACTCCAGTTGCAAACTCTGTGAGCAGGAACTACGGCATGATCTCCTGCACTACATCACTGAATGCCCAGTTATTAGACCTTTCAGACCAGTTGGCATGAGGTACCTGGAGCTTTGCAATTACTTTATTCACTCTCGTATTCTTGAAGATATCCTCACAGTATACCCAAAATTTGCCAGTGCAGGCTATTAAACACATGGCTCTGTATGACTAACCATCCTGCGAGATGGGGACTACCTTATTCAATCTTGTGGTGTTGATATTCTCAAAATGCATCCGGAGTCTGCCAGTGCAGACCGCTTATCACATGCCTCTGTATGACTAACCATCCTGTGTGATGGGGATTTTTTAGCATCACCTAGTTAGCTTCTTTTTGACACACTGTACTCCACTTCATATAGTCTAGGGTAGCTGCACTAATGCAGATGTACCTCATATGTTAATAAAAAAAAAAAAAAATAAAAAAAAAAAAACAGCCTGGTGGACCAAACTCTCACAAGTCAATCCTGGCCTCGGGCCGGGCTTGGGGAGTAGAACTCCCAGAACCCCATCAACCAGGTATACCTAGAGTCCTCCCAGGAGTCCTCCTAGGAGTCCTCCTAGGAAGCTTGGCCGGTTTACTACTGTATGCCACTTAAGCTTTATACACCCTCATTAATATTTAATTGGGTCATTAAGCCTGCTGGACCTTAGTTTGAGAAGCGTAAGATTTGAAAGGGTTTTTATTGGACCATAAGCCCTTGCTCATTGCTTCTATGTCGCGTCATTTTTACGGTGTATTGAGTTTCAATAAAGCATAGCATTTCTGACGCGATGGTCGATGACGTGAAAAGTGCGGTGCATTAAGTGTGAGGACAGGTTGGACCCCAACATAACGCACCACTTTTGTGACGCTCTCCGGGCCTTAGAACGTCGCAATATCAACGGTGTCTCGCCATAGTATAGGCATCACCCCTCGATGCGTGGGTGGGTCGGCCAGGTTCGTACGCTTGTGGTGAGGGGACACCGCTGCTAATTTGACGGGTGTCAAGGGGTGAGCAATAGCAGCAGCTTGCCTCTGGTCTCTCTTCCCCTCGGAGTGTCCAAGGTGTGTATTGGGGAGGACTTTCCCCACCAGTGTGTTGGGGGGAGGGGGAGGTCGTCTGGGGAAGGGGGGAGGAGGGTTCAGGAGGTGTCGTGGCGGGGGGGGGGGGGAAGGGAAGTTACAATACCTTCAATAACGGTAATACGATATGATGTCTTGAAGTCCCTGCTACGCTGTCAGTGACACTGACACGGGGTTGCCAGTTGACACGGATATAATTTTGCTTCCGTCGTGCCAAGTCCGGCAGGAGAAACTCTCCTTGACAGGCGCGGCAAGGAAAGACGTGTGCAATATTTATGCCGAGCTGGCAAGGAGAGAGTTGCAACCCAGCTGTGTGGCTTTCCTGGTGTGTAGGGTGCGTTGCCTGGGCACAGTGGCAGGGTCAGGCTGGGGCCTGCCCTCTTCACCTTGTAATTCACTTCTTGACCTATGACCTGGACCTCCTGACCTCTGACCTAGACCTCCTGACCTCTGATCTAGACCTCCTGACCTCTGACCTAGACCTCCTGACCCTGACCTAGACCTCTTGACCTCTGACCTAGACCTCCTGACCTCTGACCTAAACCTCTGACCTAGACCTCCTGACCTCTGACCTACACCTCCTGACCTCTGACCTACACCTCCTGACCTCTGACCCTCACCTCCTGACCTCTGATCTAGACCTCCTGACCTCTGACCTACACCTCCTGACCTCTGACCTATACCTGACCCCTGACCTAGACCTCCTGACCTCTGATCTAGACCTCCTGACCTCTGATCTAGACCTCCTGACCTCTGATCTAGACCTCCTGACCTCTGACCTAGACCTCCTGACCTCTGACCTACACCTGACCTCTGACCTACACCTGACCTCTGACCTAGACCCCCTGACCTAGACCTCCTGACCTCTGACCTAGACCTCCTGACCGCTGACCTAGACCTGACCTCTGACCTAGACCTCCTGACCTCTGACCTAGACCTCCTGACCTCTGACCTAGACCTCCTGACCGCTGACCTAGACCTGACCTCTGACCTAGACCTCCTGACCGCTGACCTAGACCTGACCTCTGACCTAGACCTCCTGACCTCTGACCTAGACCTCCTGACCGCAGACCTAGACCTGACCTCTGATCTAGACCTGACCTCTGACCTACATCTCCTGACCGCTGACCTAAACCTGACCTCTGACCTAGACCTGACCTCTGACCTAGACCTCCTGACCGCTGACCTGGACTAAGAGCGGCTCGTTAGTACCGCCGGGGACACCAAACTGGCGCAAAATATTAATTGGCGACAAATTGGTGCCAGACCCGCTGTGGAGACGGGAAATTTGGAGCCGCGAATTGATTCACTGAAGCCGAATTAAAAGTTGAATGATTGAGTGTCTTACCGATTGAGAAAGATGTTTTGAGTTACAGTTTTTGCATATATATATATATATATATATATATATATATATATATATATATATATATATATATATATATATATATATATATATATATATATATATATATATATAAAACTGAAAACTCACACCCCAGAAGTGACTCGAACCCATACTGTCAGGAGCAATGCAACTGGTATGTACAGGACGCCTTAATCCCCTTGACCATCACGACCGGATATAAGCAAGTGATAGCCCAAGCTATTTGAACCACTTCCCCGCCGGCACTCGGATGGTAATCTTGGGCATAGCATTTTATCAAATCACCTCATTCTTTGGGCTACACGTGAGGAACACAAATGCGAACAAGCCTGAATGGTTCCCAGGACTATATGCAACTGAAAACTGTTCAAAAAACTGCTGCAAAAGTTGAAAGAAAACAGTTGCAAAACTGCAACTGAAAACTATATATATATATATATATATATATAATATATATATATATATATATATATATATATATATATATATAATCACTTTATATCAGGCTGTGAAGTTCCAGAGCATGAAGGTTAGGTTGTTCTGGAGAGGGGATAGATGCTGGTTATTGGGAGATGTGATCTGTGATGGGCCAGCATCACTACACAGCGCACGGGACAGTGATGAGTGCACTGTTCACTGAGCTAGGAGGAGGGGGGGGGGGAGGGGAAGAGTGGATGGGGAGTGGATGGAGGAGGATGAGGGAGAGGGAAGGGGTGTGGATTGAAGGGCGGGGGGGGGGTACAATAGATTGTGATGGAGAGGAGGTGGAGGGGGGGGGGGTAGAAGAAGGGGGGGATTATGGGTTGTGAAGTATGATAATATGACGAGAGTGGCGTTAGTATGACGAGAGCGGCGTTAGTATGACGAGAGCGGCGTCAATATGACGAGAGCGGCGTCAATATGACGAGAGCGGCGTCAATGTGACGAGAGCGGCGTCAATGTGACGAGAGCGGCGTCAATAAGGATGTTGACACTCGTGCCCGCGCGCGTGCACACCTCTTATTGATCTCTGCACCACTCATGAAAATAAACACTGCCTCACTTGTCTGTAACTCCCCCCCAACCCCCCCAACCCCCCCTACCCACAACAACCCCCCCCCACCATACAACCCCCCCCCCACACACCCCACAACCTTAGCCTACTACACCCCACACTCCTCAACAACAAACCTCCACTCCACAACCCCCCCCCCACCTAACAACAACCCCCACCCCACAGCAACCCCCGTCCCACAGCAACCCCCATCCCACAACCACCCCCCACAACCACCCCCCTCCCCACAACTCCGCCCTTCTATGTTTCGACCTTAAGCTGATCAGCCCCCCCCCCCCCCCCCCCCACCACCCCACCCCGTACCCTTCTAATTGCCTGCACAGAAATCTTCAATGTTTTCAAACAATTTGTCAAGGGCACCCAGGTAGGACCAGGTTTGGAGCCAGATCCCAGCGCACCGTGATTCGGATTCACGCCGGAGCCGGATGCGATGTTGCGGTCGGGCGCGGTGTCGGCGCCAGGGTTTTCGGAACAAGCAAAACAAGGACCCAAAATCTGCCGTTATTATAAACGGGGAAACCTGTAAACATGGGATATCGGGAAGAACAAATGGTACATGTAAGTACGATCACCCCAGAAAGTGCAGGAACCTTCTTAGTACAGGTAAATGTACCAAAAGCTGGGATTTCTTTCACCCAGAACTGTGCAAGAACTCTCTAAATAAGAATGAATATTGACCAGACCACACACTAGAAGGTGAAGGGACGACAACGTTTCGGTCCGTCCTGGACCATTCTCAAGTCGATTGAGAGATGGGGAGGGATCACAATCGACTTGAGAATGGTCCAGGACGCACCGAAACGTCGTCGTCCCTTCACCTTCTAGTGTGTGGTCTGGTCAACATACTTTAGCCATGTTATTGTGACTCATCGCCTGCATAAGAATGAATATTTCAACACAGAAGGTGCAGCTTTTCATATAAAAGGAACCAGGCGAATAAGACCGACAGACCGACTCGAGGAAAGCAGCCACAACACTATTCACCAGGAGGATTATTTAGCAAGAGGAGGAGGAGAAGAATGGCTAAAAATGTCCAGACTCTACCACCAACTCCGTCAAATGCTGGAGAGGACGCAAGCACAGTGGCCTCCTTACCAGAGCCTCAGATATTAACACCAAGTACACCAACACTTCCACAAACATAACATCATTTTTATTTGCCAACATTCAGGGTATAAAAACACGCAAATGTAACAAAGTTCACTTCATAGATGGCCTCTTACATGAGGCAAATGCAGTGTTTGCAGCCGTAACGGAAACTCACACAAAGGACTACCATGATGGTGAAATATGGATCTCAGAGTACAATCTTTTCACATGTGACAGGAAACACCGGCTACAGGGTGGGGTCAGCCTCTACATCAAGGACACACTCATCTGTACTGAGCTGCTAAACACCACAAATGATATGGTGGAAGTGCTGATAATCAAAATAGAGATCCTAAATGTAGTTATTGTCCTTGTATATAAGTCACCCGAGGCAAACCCTCAGCAGTTTAAAGACCAACTAATGAAAATAGAACACTGCTTAAAAAATCCCACAAATCCAGCCCCGAACATCATCCTGCTTGGGGACTTCAACCTACGGCACCTGAAATGGAAGACCATAGCTTATGCAGTTATATCAGAGAGAATTCCAGGAAGTAACCTAAATGAACAGCCACATGCAAATGGCCTGCTACGGATGTGCGACAGGTTTGCCTTAAACCAGCAAATAGCCAAATCGACTAGATAGGAGAACACGTTGGACCTCATTTTCACTAATAATGATGAATTGATCTGGAACAATGATTACAAATACCTGTTACTCAGATCACAACCTAATTGAAGTTCTGACAAGCATGGGGGAGTAGACCTTCTCAGCCAGTCCCGAGCCCCAGGGAAGGAGAGTTAAGCAAATTCAATTTCAATAATAAACGGATTAACTGGGAGCAAATAAACCAAGATCTCACAGAAATAACCTGGGAAAAAGAACTAGAAAATACAAACCTTAACCAGTGCCTGCAAAAATAAGCTCAGTTTCCCAAGAAATATGCTCAAACCCTAAGAAAAAAAGAGGAAGAGATGCAGATTGGAACGGGAACGCCGTTCCCTCTATTGGTGAAGAAAACGAATCACGGAACAACTGCACTGTGGAAAAATGCCCGACAGACCACTGGAGCATTACCTAACACATTACTTGTGTAAAGGAGGAAATGTCTATGTTTATCTCTCAGAATGTTCGGTAATACGTTTATTGCTTGTGATGTGTGTCTATGTAGGACTTGTGATCCTGTGGTCCTGGGTTCGATCCCAGGCGCCGGCGAGAAACAATGGGCAGAGTTTCTTTCACTCTATGCCCCTGTTACCTAGCAGTAAAATAGGTACCTCGGTGTTAGTCAGCTGTCACGGGCTGCTTCCTGGGGGTGGAGGATTGGTCGAAGACCGGGCCGCGGGGACACTAAAAAGCCCCGAAATCATCACAAGATAACCTCAAGAAGATGTATGTATTAACACGATGTACTGAACGGGGTGAGAATAGCTTGAGCTACCTCATCCCTTTGTGTGTATTTTACCTCAATAAACTTATTTCAATTTTAATTTTAATCTAACACATTTGCACAGTTACAAATCCAATAAGATTTCAACTTAGATTGAACAAAGCAGAAGTTGTTAAACACATGGGGCAAAATCTTACTGAAGCGACCATACGAGTCATAAATACTCATACTCCGCCCAAGTAAAACAGAAACAAGTAACACTTAGTGGGACAGCCAGAGGCTTAGGGCCCGCGCAGGAATATCCCTGAAAAAAAAGCCAGAACAACTAGAGAGTCGCACCCTATCTCAAGAACGACGAAGGTTAGGTAGAGAAATATAAACTATTAAACTAAAGCTACAAGAATCATACAAAAATCAGGAGAGTCAAAGCGAGCAAAAGGCCATCAGTGAAATAGAGAGAAAACCGAAATATTTTTTCTCCTATGTAAAATCAAGATAAAAAAACCACATCTAGTATCAGGCCCCTGCGAAAGGGAGATGGAACGTTTACTGATGACAACAAAGAAATGAGCGAAATGCTGAGGGATCAATATGACTGTTTTCAGCGCGATTCAACACGCTGAAGATTGATAATCCAAATGAATTTTTCATGGATATGATACCAACATCAAATCATATATCAGACGTCGCCCTGTCCCCACTGGATTTTGAAGAAGCCATAGACAGTATGCCTATGCACTCTGCGCCAGGCCCTGATTCTTGGAACTCCATATTCATCAAGAACTGTAAAAAAAGCACTATCGCAGGCCCTTCACATCCATTGGAGACAAAGCCTAGATACTGGCGTTATCCCTGACATACTAAAACAGCAGAGATAGCACCACTCCATAAAGGAGGAAATAAGACAGAGATAAAAAATTACAGACCGATAGCACTAACTTTTTTTTTTTTTGAGATATATACAAGAGTTGTTACATTCTTGTACAGCCACTAGTACGCGTAGCGTTTCGGGCAGGTCCCTGGAATACGATCCCCTGCCGCGAAGAATCGTTTTTTCATCCAAGTACACATTTTACTGTTGCGTTAAACAGAGGCTACAGTTAAGGAATTGCGCCCAGTAAATCCTCCTCGGCCAGGATACGAACCCATGACATAGCACTCGCGGAACGCCAGGCGAGTGTCTTACCACTACACCACGGAGGCTGTTCGGAGAAACATCGCACATCATAAAAATCTTTGAGAGAGTGCTAAGAAGTAAGATCACAAAATACATGGAATCACAGCATCTCCATAACCCCGGACAACATGGTTTCAGAACAGGGTGCTCTTGCCTGTCGCAGTTGCTGGACCACTATGATATGGCATTAGATGCCATGGAAGACAAACAAAACGCTGATGTAATTTACAGAGATTTCGCAAAAACTTTCGACAAATGTGACCATGGAGTTATTGCACATAAAATGCGTGCAAAAAGGAATTACCGGAAAAATAGGCAGATAGGTCTACAATTTTCTGACTAATAGAACCCAATGTGTAATAGTCAACAAAATAAAATTTGGTCCATCAACCGTGAAGAGCTCAGTCCCCCAGGGTACTGTGCTTGCTCCAGTACTTTTTCTCATCCTTATATCGGACATAGACAAGGACACAATCTATAGTACTGTATCATCCTTTGCTGATGACACTAGGATTTTTATGAGAGTAGAAAACACGGCAATCCTCCAATCAGATGTAGATCAGGTCTTTCTATGGGCTATAGACAATAATATGGTGTTTAACGAAGATAAGTTCCAGCTCATGCGCTATGGAAAAAATGAAAATATAAAAACGGAAACCACGTACAAAACTCAGGCAAATCATAACAGAACGAAAAGGCAATGTAAAGGATCTGGGTGTACTCATGTCGGAAGACCTTACCTTTAAAGAACACAATAAAGTAGCCGTCACAACTGCAAGAAAAATGACAGGTTGGATAACAAGAACCTTTCACACTAGAGATGCTATACCAATGATGATACTTTTCAAAACGCTAGTGCTCTCTAGAGTGGAGTACTGCTGCACAATGACAGCTCCTTTCAAAGCTGGAGAAATTGCTGACCTGGAGAGCGTGCAGAGATCCTTTACTGGTAGAATCCACTCAGTAAAACATCTAAACTATTGGGACCGACTAAAGAGCCTAAATCTGTATTCTCTTGAGCGCAGGCGGGATAGATACATAATAATTTATACATGGAAAATAGTAGAGGGGCTGGTCCCAAACCTGCACACAGAAATAACATCACATGAGACCAGGAGGCATGGCAGGATGTGCAGAATACCCCCGTTGAAGAGCAGAGGTGCAACAGGTACTCTGAGAGAGAACTCTATCAACATCAGAGGCCGAGACTGTTCAACACGCTTCCACTACACATAAGGGCATAACTGGCCGACCACTCACAGTGTTCAAGAGAGAACTGGATAAGCACCTCCAAAGGATACTTGAACAACCAGGCTGCAAGAAGCCGCGTCCAACCCAGCAACTAGGAGGCCTGGTCGATGACCGGGCCTCAAGGACGCTAAGCCCCGAAATCCTCTCAAGGTTTACGGGCTATTCATGCCCGTGCCACCTCTTGGGTGGTTTAATCTTCACCACTCAGCTCTCAGGGTAACCTCAAGGCAAGGTACCCCCTTTGTTCACCTAATCCCTCCAGATCCTTCGCTTCCCCTCACTAATCCTTCCAGACCCTTCTCTTCTCCTCACTAATCCTTCCAGACCCTTCTCTTCTCCTCACTAATCCCTCCAGATAACAAAAAATCACACTGATGTGATTTGCCCCAGAAATTATATCGAGACAATGAGGTGACTTGAACCAGCGTTCTGGTGAACACCAGATACCTGCCTTAACCTACTCAGCCACGATAGGACAAAAGCCCATCAACCCTCCCCCAGCAGCCCTCCTCCAGCAGCCCTCCTCCAGCAGCCCTCCCTCAGCAGCCCTCCTCCAGCAGCCCTCCTCCAGCAGCCCAGAGATATTTTCTCCTCCAGAGAAATTTACAATATGTCCATGCACCCCGGGTCCAGACTCATGGCATTCAATATTCATAAAGAAATGCAAAGTGCCAGTAGCACAGGCACTCAGTATAGTGTGGAGGAAGAGCTTGGACACGGGGGAGATACCAGATGCGCTTAAAGCAACAGACATTGCCCCTCTACACAAGGGTGGTAGCAAAGCATTGGCAAAGAATTATAGACCAGTTGCACTAACGTCCCACATCATAAAAGTATTTGAGAGAGTGATCAGGAGTCAGGTCACTAGATTCATGGAAACCAATGACCTTCACAATCCAGGCCAACATGGATTCAGAGCGGGAAGATCGTGCCTCTCACAGCTACTTGACTACTACGACAAAATCACTGAGGCACTTGAAGAAAAACAGAATGCAGATGTTGTATACACAGACTTTACAAAGGCATTTGACAAATGTGACCATGGAGTGATTGCACACAAAATGAGGTCAATGGGTATAACTGGTAAAGTAGGACGCTGGATACTTAATTTCCTGTCGAACAGAACACAAAGGGTTCTATATAGAGTCCGAGCGCAGTTAAAAGCTCTGTACCTCAAGGTACAGTCCTTGCACCACTGCTGTTCCTTATTCTCATATCAGATATAGACAAAAATACAAGTAACAACTCCGTGTCATCCTTTACAGATGATACAAAAATCAGCATGAAAATTACCTCTGCTGAACACATTGAAAAATTACAAATAGATATTAACAAAGTTTTCGACTGGGCAGCAGAAAATAACATGTTGTTTAACAGTGATAAATTCCAGACACTCAGATACGGCAAAATTGAGGAGCTGAAACAAAATACAGGGTACAAATCGCAATCGAATCTGCCCATAGTAGGAAAACAGCATGTCAAGGATTTGGGAATCATGATGTCTGACGACCTAACGTTTAGGGAGCATAACCAAGCAAATATTGCGGCAGCCAGAAAAATGATAGGATGGATTACGAGAACTTTCAAATACAGGGATCCCATCACAATGGTTGTACTCTTAAAATCACTTGTGTTGTCCCGTCTTGAGTACTGCTCAGTACTCACTTCCCCCTTCAGAGCAGGAGAGATTGCTGAAATAAAGGGAATACAGAGAACATATACGGCACGCATAGACGAGATAAAGCACCTAAATTATTGGGATCCTCTCAAAGCTCTCCAAATGTACTCACTAGAAAGGAGACGAGAGAGATATCAAGTAATATACACCTGGAAAATACTGGAGGGCCAGGTCCCAAATCTGCACAGTAAAATAACAACATATTGGAGTGAACGATATGGAAGGAAATGCAGAATAGAACCAGTGAAGAGCAGAGGTGCCATAGGCACAATCAGAGAACACTGTATAAACATCAGAGGTCCGCGGTTTTCAACGTCCTCCAGCGACTTATAAGAAATATTGCCGGAACAACCGAGGACATCTTCAAGTGAAAACTGGACGGTTTTCTATGAGAAGTTCCGGATCAGCCGGGCTGTGGTGGGTATGTGGGGCCCACGGGCCGCTCCAAGCAACAGCCTGGTGAACCAAACTCTCACAAGTCGAGCCTGGCCTCGGGCCGGGCTTGGGGAGTAGAAGAACTCCCAAAACCGCATCAACCAGGTATCAGCCAGGTATCCTCCTAAAGCAGCTCTCCTCCAACAGCTCCCCTCCAACAGACCTCCCCCAGCAGCCCTCCTCCAACAGCCCTCCTCCAGCAGCCCTCCTCCAGCAGCCCTCCCCCAGCAGCCCTCCTCCAGCAGCCCTCCCCCAGCAGCCCTCCCCCAGCAGCCCTCCTCCAGCAGCTCTCCCCCAGAAGCCCTACCCCAGCAGCCCTCCTCCAGCAGCCCTCCCCCAGCAGCCCGCCTCCAGCAGCCCTCCTCCAGCAGCCCTCCCCCAGAAGCCCTCCCCCAGCAGCCCTCCTCCAGCAGCCCTCCAGCAGCCCTCCAGCAGCCCTCCCCCAGCAGCCCTCCTCCAGCAGCCCTCTTCCAGCAGCCCTCTTCCAGCAGCCCTCCCCCAGAAGCCCTCCCCCAGCAGCCCTCCTCCTGCAGCCCTCTTCCAGCAGCCCTCTTCCAGCAGCCCTCTTCCAGCAGCCCTCCCCCAGCAGCCCTCCTCCAGCAGCCCTCCTCCAGCAGCCCTCCTCCAGCAGCCCTCCCCCAGCAGCCCTCCTCCAGCAGCCCTCCTCCAGCAGCCCTCCTCCAGCAGCCCTCCTCCAGCAGCCCTCCTCCAGCAGCCCTCCTCCAGCAGCCCTCCTCCAGCAGCCCTCCTGCAGCAGCCCTCCTCCAGCAGCCCTCCTCCAGCAGCCCTCCTCCAGCAGCCCTCCCCCAGCAGCCCTCCCCCAGCAGCCCTCCTCCAGCAGCCCTCCCCCAGCAGCCCTCCTCCAGCAGCCCTCCCCAAGCAGCCCTCCTCCAGCAGCCCTCCCCCAGCAGCCCTCCCCCAGCAGCCCTCCTCCAGCAGCCCTCACACACCACAACATTTTTTCATTCTGAGTTAAGAGTTCTTTATTTGCCACCCGCGACCATTTGCATATTTCTGCAACTTTATTGTGGGTCATTCGTATGCTGTAACACTGTAAAAGTGTTTGAGTTAGTTTATTTAAAATATATATAGAGTACATGAGTCACAGACAAGGATCTGAGAGGCGCCAGTTGTCTGCCTGAGATCTCACACCTCAAAGCGTTAATGACCTCAAGTGACCTGAGGTCAGATCATGAGAATTTCACCTTGCTTCCGCTAAGCTCTTAATTGTAGTCTGGTAGCCTTCAAACAAGCCGACGTTTAAGGAGTGGCTTGGTAGTGCCGGAGGCTATCTACTTGTGGGCGGAGTTAGCTACTAGGTTCCCCAATATAAACTCGGAGAGCTATCCAGCAGAAAGCATTAACAGACAGAGCAGCAGACGAGCCAGGAGAGCAGAAAGAAGACAGCCCTACCAGGGAGGCTGTCGGCCGGCAGGGCGGGAGTCTCTGTCAACTACAGACCCCCCCCCCCCCTCTCTATTCAACTTAGACTCAGTCCTCGGTGAGTGAACATTAAGGTGACTTGGTCGTGTTTACATATGTTGTGTGATGATCAGGGGCAGTCAAGTTGTAGGGTTCTCGAATTCTTGGATGATGACTCTCTTTAACATTTTAATTGAATTGCTAAATTATGATACTTCATGTGAAATATAATTATGAATTTATTATTTAAATTGTGTTTAACTTTGTTCCCTAGAGCTTTGAGTTGAGGTGAGAAAGCCTCTGTGATTACTGGTTTCATGATTTAATGAGTACATGTTTGGAGTTGATACATACAGAGGGAACATACTAATAATGAACTCTTGATAACATCCTTTGAGAATTTTGTGATACAGGCAAGTTCCATTCCTTGTCTTGTATGTAATGATCATGAATGGATGGTGGCAGCATTTCGTCTTCTACTATCTACTCTTCTACGTCTACTATCTACTCTTCTACTTCTACCTATCTACACCTCTCCCTCCACCCTTCTCTAAACTCTCACTTTCAACTAATGACCCTTCTCGCTCCTCCCACCTCTCTGCCTCTCACCCCAAACCCTCACTAATTACTTCACTATTCATTTCTTTCCTTTCGTTTTCACTTATACGTTTGTTTTTATGATTCAGTATTCTAGAGTTCTCTCTAGAGTTTCGGGTAGCTGATCAAGTGACGGCGCCTTGTATTCTTAGCACCTAGGTAGTCAAATACCTAGGTTACAAGGTGTTGAACGAGAGAGGCTGCCTTAGGAACTCTGGAGGTGCTCTAGAATAGTTAGCTAACTGGGGACGGGATAACGGACTAGAGAGAGCTGTTTCCCCCGGCCTCGTTAGTTAACTGGGGGGTGGAATAATGGACAAGATAGAGCTATTTCCCCCACCCCCCGTTACAATGTTGGCAGCGGTGTTAAACAATGTTTAAGGTATTGGTGTTCATTTAACATTGTTCAGTTCCATGTGTCTTTTTGCCGCTCAGGCGCTATCAGGGAGATCTTGACATGTGTTTAATATTCGCGATTTAGCGTTTTTCAGGTTAGGAGATGGTGATTCTCTGGTGTTGTGTTTAGTGATTTTGTGAGTTTTGTGGTATTCAGGGAATGTTCACCAGAACTTGCGTGTGTAGTGATTTATGTTAGTGATAAGATTTGGTGATTTGGGAACTTAGCGGTGTTGGTAGTGCAGGTCAGCTGAGTGTGACAGGTGACCTCGCATGTCCCACGGGGACACCCAGCCACCGCTGGTCTCCAGGTCAGTGGGGAGTGGCAGGTGTAGTTCTTAAGTAGTTTAAGTGTGGTTCTGCTCAGATTATTGCGATCGACTGTTTTACTCCATTTGAACGCAATAACCCGAGGTGTACTGGTATTGTACAGCATGCTAGTGTGGACTAGTGTGTCAGTAGACTTCACGTTGGGGACGCTCGACGTTAGATAGTCTGGTCACAGGGGTGACAACAGTTTGGGAGTTGTTTACCGGCGGAGAAGCTAGGGAAACACTCTGGGTCACGTAGGTGGCTGTAGGTTAAGGGTGGGAGTAATGGTTAATTATGTACTTAAGATTAGGAACGGTACAGTTAAGTTTAGGCTAGTGTTTTGTCTATTAGTGTTGATTTTTTTTTGTGACAAGTTAAAAGTAGTGATGACCTTATTCTCTCTTCTCTAACTTTACTCTGTTACTGTTTTATGTTCCACCAAGTCAATATCATTCAGAGTTAATTGAATTATTAAAAATTGAAGTGTAGTTGTTGCCAGGAGGAGAGCGGTATGATAGGACTGTGTAACCCTATACAAACGACAGGGTCACACAAACATCTTGGGAACACGTATTGTCGCCTTTCTGTTCATTTCACAGGTGGGAGCCAGAAGAGAGGAGAGACGCACATACAGAAGAGGGAGACGGCTGCCTTATACCACACTCACGGCTGTTCCTCACCACCACGACGACCAGCCCCTACCTGGATGTCAGGGCCACCACCACCACCACCACCCCAGGGGACCCCAAGATGCAGCCCTCTCGGTCGGTCAACATTGGTCTACCCAGTGGACCCCAAGACGGACGGACCCCAGTGGACCCCAAGACGGACGGACCCCCAGTGGACCCCAGGTCGTTCTGCAGACGACCCCAGACGACCCAGTAATGATGGAAGAGGAGCAACAACGACTCCAGTCTGTCCCACCAACATCGGTCTACCCAGGATGGACCCCAGGACGGACAGACCCCCAATGGACCCCAGGTCGCTTGTCAAAGACCCATGGGAGGAGGAAGAGAGAAGAAAGAAGAAAGAAGAGAGAAGAAGAGAAGAAGAAGAGAGAAGAAAGAAGAGAGAAGAAAGAAGAAGATAAGCCAAGCTGAGACACGATACCTAGTGTCCCTTGCTGGTGTCAGCATTATTGCATGGAGCGTAATTGCAAGACAGGATCGTTTGCCTTGACTGGCCGCCCCTCCTACAAGCATGTTGCTCTGTTGAGTGATTCTTCCTGTGTCATGCGGACTTGATGTGGCTGTCAGAAGTAGCTCTCTGAAGGAGGCGTGCTGGAGCAACAGGGAGGAAGAAGAGTAGGATGGGATTTCTACTGTTGGCAACTATATGAAGGTCTCGAAACTTGTAGTCCCTATAGCTGTGAAGAACCCCAATATACGTCTCTCATGGTGACTGACGTAGGGCCAATTACAGATCAGCTGGGACAACCGAATTCCACGGTCCTGTGCTCAGTTCAAGTAGTAACGGCTTTCGGGTTGACCAAGTGTTGTTGTGCGTTAACGACGGAGAAGCGACGGAGGCAGTTGTGTTGAAGAAATGTGGTACAGGATTATCTACAAGACCAAGCAGTGACGTCGCCCAGCCAGAGACAATGGACGTCTGTCTATATATTTCATTTTTTAGAGTAGGATGATGTATATTTGTTTAGCTAGGATGTATTTTTTTTTCGTTAATAAAGTTGTTGCACACAGCTAGCTTGCTTTAGCAGTGTTGCAAAAACTTTATTTCGGGGAGAAGGGGAGATGTAACACTGTAAAAGTGTTTGAGTTAGTTTATTTAAAATATATATAGAGTACATGAGTCACAGACAAGGATCTGAGAGGCGCCAGTTGTCTGCCTGAGATCTCACACCTCAAAGCGTTAATGACCTCAAGTGACCTGAGGTCAGATCATGAGAATTTCACCTTGCTTCCGCTAAGCTCTTAATTGTAGTCTGGTAGCCTTCAAACAAGCCGACGTTTAAGGAGTGGCTTGGTAGTGCCGGAGGCTATCTACTTGTGGGCGGAGTTAGCTACTAGGTTCCCCAATATAAACTCGGAGAGCTATCCAGCAGAAAGCATTAACAGACAGAACAGCAGACGAGAGCAGAAAGAGACAGCCCTACCAGGGAGGCTGTCGGCCGGCAGGGCGGGAGTCTCTGTCAACTACAGACCCCCCCCCCCCCCTCTCTATTCAACTTAGACTCAGTCCTCGGTGAGTGAACATTAAGGTGACTTGGTCGTGTTTACATATGTTGTGTGATGATCAGGGGCAGTCAAGTTGTAGGGTTCTCGAATTCTTGGATGATGACTCTCTTTAACATTTTAATTGAATTGCTAAATTATGATACTTCATGTGAAATATAATTATGAATTTATTATTTAAATTGTGTTTAACTTTGTTCCCTAGAGCTTTGAGTTGAGGTGAGAAAGCCTCTGTGGTTACTGGTTTCATGATATTAATGAGTACATGTTTGGAGTTGATACATGGTACAGAGGGAACATACTAATAATGAACTCATGATAACTTTTGAGAATTTTGTGATACAGGCAAGTTCCATTCCTTGTCTTGTGTGTAATGATCATGAATGGATGGTGGCAGCATTTCTTCTTCTACTATCTACTCTTCTACTTCTACTATCTACTCTTCTACTTCTACCTATCTACACCTCTCCCTCCACCCCTCTCTAAACTCTCACTTTCAACTAATGACCCTCCTCGCCCCTCCCACTTCTCTCCCTCTCACCCCAAACCCTCACTAATTACTTCACTATTCATTTCTTTCCTTTCGTTTTCTCTTTTACGTTTGTTTTTATGATTCTGTATTCTAGAGTTCTCTCTAGAGTTTCGGGTAACTGATCAAGTGACGGCGCCTTGTAGTCTTAGCACCTAGGTAGTCGAATACCTAGGTTACAAGGTGTTGAACCAGAGAGGTTGCCTTAGGATCTCTGGGAGTGCTCTAGAATAGTTAGCTAACTGGGGACGGGATAACGGACTAGAGAGAGCTGTTTCCCCCGGCCTCGTTAGTTAACTGGGGGGTGGAATAATGGACAAGATAGAGCTATTTCCCCCACCCCCCGTTACAGTGGCAGGGTGTTGGGTGTGTGTTGCAGGGTGTTGGGTGTGTGTTGCAGGGTGTTGGGTGTGTTGCAGGGTGTTGGGTGTGTGTTGCAGGGTGTTGGGTGTGTGTTGCAGGGTGTTGGGTGTGTGTTGCAGGGTGTTGGGTGTGTTGCAGGGTGTAGGGTGTGTGTTGCAGG